AGTCCCGAGTGGCCGCGGCGCCGCCACGCCTGTCCCCCCCCAGAGGCCCGGGCTTACGACGGCCGAGGGCTCCGTCGGCCCTAACCGAGCTGGGTGCCCGTGGCCGGGGTGACGCCTCCATTCCTCCCCCCTCAGCACCGTCCTCGACCCTTCGAAGTTGCGTCCTTTCCTCTGCTCGCGGTGCGCCCCCTGCGCACGCACTTACCCGCCACCTTTCCTAGGCTCCCCTCCTACCCCCTCCCCGCTCCTCCTTGCCTCAGACTCCCTCCCCCCTCACGTCCTCCCTCTGCCTTCGCCTACCCAAGTGGATTAATTATACGCTTTCTGTTTCTCTCCAAGCTGTCCTCTCCCGCTGTGAACCTACCCGCCTCTCGCTGTCCTCTCTTCCTCTCTCCCTCTCTGTGGTCCCCCCCGTTTTACGTTCACTCTATCTCTCACACTATCTCTGCCCCCCACTATCCTTGATACAACAGCTGACCTCATTTCCCGATACCTTTTCCCCCCCGAAAGTACAATATCTGGCCCGCCCCAGCCCTAAGACAGCCCGTCCTCCCTAAAGAAGCAGAAGAGACGTCGTCCCCCCCCACCAAAAAAGCCATCCCTCCGTTCTGTCCCGTCGCACATTCGGCCCCCGCGACTCGGTCAGAGCGGCGCTGGCAGAGGAGTGCCCGGCAGAAGGGCCTTCGCCCGCTGTTCGGTTTGCAAACCCGCAGCAGGGAGGTGGGCGGCAGCGTCGCCGGCTTCCAGGTAAGGGCTCTGGGGGGCGGCCCAGGCGGGTGCGGGTGCGTAGGGCCCGGCCTGGGTTTGGCGGGACTGGTGTAGTAGGGGGTGGGGGCTGGGGGCCCACTCCCTCTGCAAACTCGCGCTCCCCCCTTGCGCTGTAGGGTGGGGGAGGGGGCATGGGTATGGGAACTGGTGGGGAGGGGGGTGTGTAAGTTGAACTCACTGGAGACTCTGGTCCTTTGGTGCGTGTTGGGGAGGGGAAGTAAGCTGCTTTAAAATGTATGACTCGTGTTGTGCAGGCACTGTCCCCCCAGGGTGCTGAGTGATGGGGGGGCAGTGTCTCTGAAGCCCACCCTGGTATGTTGACTTGGTGCCAATGAGACTGAGAGGGGAAAAGTGGGTGGGCGGGGCAAGAGCGCCCCCCAAATTGGCAAAGGAATCAGGCCAGACGTCGCAGTTCGCTCTCCCCCCCCCACATGCACACCCCAACTCTGTCCCCAACATTCCCAACTTGGGGAGAGGGGCCAGTTTCGGGCTCAGAAGGGCAGAAATGTTACAGTCTAAAGAATAACTGCCCCTGCCTTTTACTGGGTGGAACTTTCCATAGGAGGACGTAGAAGGCGCCCCCTCCCCGCCCCCATTAGTCTGTGCAGAGAGGGCTGGGGGTGCACGATGAGGCCCCCCTCCCACTGGTGGTGCTTTGCTAAGGAATGGTCCAAGGCTAGCTGCTGGGGGTGCAGGAGAGAAGGGACTGGCTGGAAGGAGGGAGGGGGCGGGTGCAAAGGGGGCGGAGGGGGGAGTGGTCAGTAGGGAGGGGGGTTGGGTAGGGTGGAGCCGGGACTGGGAGGAGCCGACTCAGACATAAAAGCCGAGGCACTGACCAGCTCGCAAACTGGACATTAGCTTCTCCTGTGAGAGCCTTCCAGCCTTTTCCTGTCTTCCTCCTCTTCCAGCCCCAGCGGCCTCCTTATCCAACTTCAGGTAACCAGGGCCGTGGAGCCAGGACCCTGCTGCCATCCTGCTCCGGCCTGCCCCGTGGGGTGGTCAGGGCACCGGTTAGCCTGGGGCCTCTGCCCTTGCAGCCGGGCCTGCTGCCTCTCACAAGCCTTCGTCCTCCCTCGGCCTCTGTCCTGTGCTCCCCCTAGCCCCAAGCTTCCTCACCTGATCCCTTCTCTCCTTTCCCTTCTCCTCTGCCTGCCCCTTGAAGCAAATTTGGGCCTTCCCTGGGCCCTCACCTATCCCTTACCTCTTGGTCAGTCTCCTGCTTGCTTCTGTTGGCCACCTGAGCTGGACCTGGAGCCAGCGTGATCTGGCTTTGGGAAGGGACTTCGAGGTCAGCTCCGTCTACCCCCATCCACCCACCCACCCAGCACTAATGGCTACAGCTATGGTCAGCTGATTGCAAGCCGCAGCGGTGGCGGCCGTGGTAGCATAAAGGGTATTGGGCGGTGGGCCGGGTCTTGTAGAGGAGATGGGCAAAGGTAACTTTTAGTTACCCTGGGGAGCTCAAACAAGTTTGTTTCTTGACTATTCCGTATTAGTCTCTCACGTGTTTTCTTTGCAGCAGGAAATCCTCGGGGACTGTGGAGCAGAGGCTGGGGCTACGGTCTGGAGGGCTCTACTTTCTGCAGGGTCAAGGGTGGCTTACTGTGGGCCACTGTGGCCTCTTATCCCTAAAGAAACTAAATAGCCATTGTCCCAGCCTGTGGCCACGCAATCTGTGACCTGTGGAGGGGGTGTGTCACTCCAGACTGTGGAGTTCAACCTCCCAGGGACCAGAACTGCTGTCTCTAGTACCCTGGGTAGAATTTAGATCCAATCAGAAAGAAGATTCTATGGGCCATAGAGGAATTCTCTATGGTCCCTGACCCTGGATAGTAAGGGATGAGACCTGGAACGGGACTTTAGGCATTCTCTTGCGCTCTGAGGTGCCCAGGGAAGTCTGGACTTGGAGGACTGGGTGACCCTGGAGAGCAAGGCTCACAGGAGTGCCAGCAGTCCTATTGCGCTAACCATTGGATTCTTGACCTGGGCCCTGTTCAGCATGGCCTGAGAGTGGGGGTTGGATGGGTGGAGCTGGCTCTGCTGCTTAGGGAGGGGTGGCCAGCTGGGGGGCAGGGAGGTTGGCGACTGGTCCCTTTGGATGCACATGCTCCACGGTGGGTGGGGTAGAGCTATCTGCCATCTTGGCCAGTGCTTGGAGGCCAGAGTAGGAGTGGCAGTGGTGATGTGCTCTTGGGCTGGCCCCACCCCCATGATGTCATAACATGGAAACCAAGTCCAGTGTCCAGCGCTGGCCCCTGCTGCTGTGGGTGTGGTCAAGCTGCAGTTGTGCCTATGGGTGGGTGGTCCTAGAGGGTTTCTTACAGTTCAAAGCCACCACGGGGTGCCTTCCTGAGCTCCACTGAGTTTCTCCACACTCAAATGGTTTTTGACCTCAGCAATTCAAGTGCTCCTGTTTTCGCAGGTCAAATAAATAGTGAGAAAGCTGCCTTTCAAATTTCAATTGCGTTTTCAGTTAAGAGGCGATAGGTATCTTCGGTGCAGGGGAGCATCTTGGGACCAGGGGTGTGGCTTGGGACCTCTAACTCAAAGCCTGCATCTCTTTTTTTCAGTTACCAATGGGGATCCCAGTGGGGAAGTCGATGTTGGTGCTTCTCATCTCTTTGGCCTTCGCCTTGTGCTGCATTGCTGCTTACCGCCCCAGCGAGACCCTGTGCGGTGGGGAGCTTGTTGACACGCTTCAGTTTGTCTGTTCGGACCGCGGCTTTTACTTCAGTAAGTAACTCCAGAGAAATGGGGAGCGGGGGGGGGGGGGGGGGGGGGGCCCCCCCCCAAGGTCAGGCCTCCCTGAGTAGGGTGACAGTTAAGGTACACTGGTTTGGCCTTGGGCTTTTGCTTCCTCTCCCCCTTGGGCAGGGCTATGGTCTCACACTCAAAAGTCTGATCGCTTTAAAAGTTAATAAAAATAAAGCAAAATGCGATTGCCGGGAGTCCAAGGGGAGAGCTTGACCATCCAAGTTCGGGGGTTCCCAGAGCTACAACACGGGATGCTTATCTGCTTTCATTATTCCTCATACTTCTCTTGATTTCTCAGCCTGGGGGCGGGGACTGAGGCTTGTGCTCCCTGCTTACAGAAGACAGTGATGGGGAACACCCAGGTGGGGCATGCCTGGGAGGGCAGGGGCACCAGAATGGATGACTCTCCTTGCTGGCATGGGCCATTCTGTCTTCCTCACCTGGTCCTGGACTCGCGGCCTCCTCTTCTGCACCTCTACCTACCTGCCTGTGAACTGCTCTGAGTGTGCTCCCGCTTCAAACCTCTGGAAACCACTCCTGCCCTTGGGCACTCTGAAGCTTCTCTGCGCCCTCTGGCACTGCAGGGCCAGCCCTTGCTCCAGGAGCCACTCCTGCACAGAGGGGCTTCCAGAATAGAGGGTCCAAGGTGAAGCCTTCAATGGCTCTACCCCCAGCCCAGCCTCGGACCTGAGTGCGTGGGGGAGAGGGGGAAGACGGGAGAAGAGAAGGGAGTTGGTTTTGGGTGCCTCACTCCTCCCCTCCCGTCTTGTTCTCTCCTACCCTATCTTCCCTGTCTCAGCTCAGTGCTGGGGGTTGGGGGTGGGCCCCTCAGGCTCAAGGTGGCACCAGGCCAGGGCCCCAAGTTCAGGGACCACACCTGTGTCCACCGTAGCTCCCTTGCGGGGCTCACCCTCTCCTCCTCCCTGTTTTCCAAACCACTCCAGTGTGGCCTCTGGTCTCCATGGAGTTTGTGGGACAGAGAGGCTGTGCCATGTTAGTTGCACAGAGGCACCAGAGGCCAGGGGCTGGTCCTGCAGCGTGCACCTTCACTTCTCCTTTCTGGGCATCTTGGCCCACCTGACTCACACTTCTACCTCATCCCCTGCAGAGCGCAGAGCGACCTAGTGTCAGGGCAGGACCTAGTGGGAGGGCTGGGGTAGTTCCGTTCTTCTGCAGCCTTCCCTGTGGGGCTGGGGAGGCTGTCCCAATGGGTACTGACCCCAGCTGGTGCTGATTAAAGCTCTGTCCTGTGGAACTTCCAGGCAGGCCTTCAAGCCGTGCCAACCGTCGCAGCCGTGGCATCGTGGAAGAGTGCTGCTTCCGCCGCTGCGACCTGAACCTCCTGGAGACATACTGTGCCACCCCCGCCAAGTCCGAGAGGGATGTGTCAACTCTTCAGACCATTCTTCCGGTGAGGCTTGGGAGAGGGCAGATTTTTAGGTGGTGGGGTGGGGTTGGGGGAGTGGTGGGGGTGGGACAAAGCTTCCCGATTTGGGGTATCATAGAGTCCACTCACATATCATTGTTGGCCTCTGCCCATGAACATAGATATTTGTGGGGAGTTGCCACCAGCTGGTGTGACTCTAGTGGGGATGGGGACAGATAACCTGACTGGGTACTCAGGCTAACGTAATACCCTGATGCCCGCTGACCAGCGCCTCCTCTTCAGGACGACTTCCCCAGATACCCCGTGGGCAAGTTTTTCCAATACGACACCTGGAGAAAGTCCGCCCAACGCCTGCGCAGAGGCCTGCCTGCCCTCCTGCGTGCCCGCCGGGGTCGCATGCTCGCCAGAGAACTCCAAGCGTTCAGAGAGGCCAACCGTCACCGTCCCCTGATCGCCTTACCACCCAAAGATCCCGCCCACGGGGGAGCCTCTTCGGAGATGTCCAGCAATCATCAGTGAACCAAATTGTTGGGTAATTCTGCAATGTAGCACCATCATTCTGTGACCTCCTCTTGAGCAGGGACAGTTCCATCACGTCTCACACTAAGATCTCTCTGCACCACTTCCTCCCCTAGGCTTCTCCCCACCTACCCCCCATGCCCCGCCTCCCCACATCAGGCTGCTCCCTTGGCCCCATACCACCGGGCAACTCTTCGAAACTAAATTGATTGGCTCTAAACAACCCAAGTAACCCCCCCAAAATTGTTCTAAAAGAAAAACTTTAAAACATACAGTCCCTTTAAAAACAAATTGGCTTTTCAGAAACACCAGAACTGTTAACCTAAAAATTTAATAACTAAAAAAATCAATTGGCTAAAAACATACTAAAAATTAATTGGCTTAGAAACAATTGGCAAAATAAGATAATTTGGCGCCCCCCCCTTCCTCTTCTTCCCATTTGGATCTTTAGTCAAATTGGCTTAGACTTGGATCTCAGAACCCAAGAAGAAAGGAAGGGGACCCAAAGTTTTCCAGGTGGCATGTCACTACTTCCGTGCTATCTCCTTGTCACTGTGCAGATAGAGTGCCTTAGCGCAAGCTGACTGAGAACAACAACAGCCACCCAAACGTTCTTCACTGGCCATTCCATCATAAATGTCACCACATCACCATAGGGCTGGGTGAAAAGAAGGAACACAAGAAGAGGAACAGAGCATGAAAACTGAAAACAAAACTTAATTGGCATGAGTCCCCGAATACCAAAATCTTATTTTTCTGTACCTACCTAAAATGTATGTTTCTACTTATCCCTGCAGACACGCACGCACACACAAACACACGTATGCGCCATATTTGCACGCACATAAGCACACTCACTTACATAGTTACACACACTCCCTCACAATTAGGTGAGAACATTGAAATGGCTGAATAGCTCCTATTCAGACCACATTGCCCAAACCAAGATTCATTCCCAATTCCCTGAGCAGTTTGCATTGTTTGAGCTCCCCTCCCAGTCCATCTAGTTTCTGCTGCTGCTTGTGGGCCCTGTGTATAACCAGGCTGTAAGTTCTATCTTTCCCGGGGAGGCTCACTTCCATCTGGATGCCTGTCCCCAGGGACCCCCACAGCATGAGCCCAGTGCTCCCCAGCCCCCCTCCTCATGTGGGCCAATGCCTATCCACATCCTGTGTTGGCCTCCTCCAGTGTAGAATAAGTTTGGCCTGATAAGGAGATGGCACTGCCAAGTAAGACATGCTACCCGAGTAGCCTGAACCCTGGGTGTGTTCCAGGAGGAAAGATCTAGGGGACATCCCCTGCCCTGAACACACCTATGGGCCATCTCTGTCAGTCTCCTGGGGAGCCCCCACTTTTTAGGGGCTCCCCAGGAGACTCACACTGATGGTGGGGAGTGTGGGAAGTCTGGCGGTTGGAGGGGTGGGTGGGGGGCAGTGGGGGCTGGGTGGGGGGAGCTGTGGGTAGGAAGTGGTCCCAGAGAGGTTTTGGATGGAAGAATCAGGAGGAGGCACAGGTCAACTTGCAGAATTACAGAAGAATTGGGAGCCCAAATTTTACGCCAATTGATCTATTCCCCTCTTTTTGTTTCTTGGGGCATCTTTCCTTTTTTTTTTTTTTTTTGGTCCCTCCTTAGCTTTTTATGCGCTCATAATCAAATTGTACCCACTCCCTAAGTAACAGGGGAGCAGTGATGAAGTAATGAATGCGCTGAGCCGTCATCATCAACTACCACCATGTCCTGCTCTCCGCCATTTATCGCCTTTAATTGATTTTTGTTTTTTATCTATCTCTGTCGCTTGGCCTGAGTTGGGAGTGGAGTCTCTGTGGGGTGCTGGCCACGCACCCACAGAGAAACAAAAGGAATTGAGAAGGCCGCTGTCTGGCCTGACTTCTGAGGACAGTGGCTGGCTGGTCCTTGGGAGTTCTGAGTAGTGGAGGGGGCGTGGGACAGTGTCCCCTCAAGTGTTAGGAAGGTGCTCGGAGGCCACAAAGATGGGGCCCCCATCTGGTTACTGCCAGCTGGGGGGGAAGGGGATGTAGATGTGAGAGTAGATAGGTTCCATCAGGCGGGAGCAAGTGGCTGCTTTCTGAGCACTTGGGGAGTCATCCCCCCCGTCCCTCAGTGTCATCTTGCCCATTCCTCAGCACCCCACCTTGTCCCCAGGAGGTCTGGAGCTCTACAGACCTCCTGGGGCCAGGGTGGGGTGAGGCCTGGAGCTGGGGAAGCTAGGAGGCTTAAAGCCTGCAGAGCCAGGAGAGCTGTTCACATGGGGTCTCCTGGACCCCGAGGCCCGAGGGTCTGGCAAGCCATAGCAGCCACTCTATGGTGCCTAAGACTGTGGCAGGGACCAGGGCGGCTGGAGGTTTACCTCACCCCCACTTCTGCCTCCAGTGCAGTCCCCCTGCCCAACAGTCCACTAGCAGTCTAGAGGCCCGAGGCTTCTGGGCCCAGGTGACAGGACTGGCATCACCCTGGGGGCGGTGTGTGTCAGCCCGACCGTGGCACAGAGGGTTCCTTGGCAAGTGCCTGAAGAATGGGCCATTCGGAACATTGGACAGAAACTTAAAAGAGTAAATTATTATAATTGGAGAATGTGAATTGGCCTGATACCCAAAAGATCTCGAGGCACCCGAAATTACCTGCCCATTCGACTGGACACCCACCCACCCAGTGTTAATTTGCCTCGCCGGGATGGGTGCTCTCAGGGGCATTTGCCAACTACCCTCTGTGTCCCCAAATTTGCAGTTCTCCCCAATCAGAGATCATCCTGATGCAGGCCCCTCCCTGACCTCCCGTGCCTAGTGTGGCCCTCCATCTTGTCTCTTCCATGCTGTCTTCAGCGGGATCCCCTCTTGGGTCCCTCCCTTTGTCATCACCTGAAGACCCCCACGCGTCGAACGCCATATGTCACCTGTGCCACTGTCTGTGTCAGCTATCAGTGGCCCCAGGTGTTTGCCTCAACTCAGTCCCTTTAACATGCTATTTCTGGCAAAACCCAAAGGCTTGGGTTTTGTTTTTAACCTGTTAACGCTTGCAAACCTAATAAAGCATTTAAAATACTATTTTCTGAGTTCTTTATTATTGTATTTGGGGGTGAGAAGGAGGGAAAGTTGGGTGGGACGGGAGGAAAGAAGGGTGCCTGCCTGGGAGGCAGCGGGTGAGGAGGAAAGTCTCTGGAGGATGCATCCCTCTGGGTCTACCACAAGAAATGGGCTCAATGAGGCACTCTCTGAGGATCCCAGAGGGTTGGGGACAACTTGAGGACTTCTCAAAAAATGGGGTGCTTTGTGGATAGAGGGATCCCATGATGTTTTTTCAATGAATCATGTGCCATGAATACCCAACCAGGGGAACATTGCCTTTAGCTTTGGGGGGTGGGGAGGAGGGTCTTCTGGAAATGTCTAGTTAGTGTTGGACAGCCCATGTCCAACTCAGGGTGACAAACACCTGGGATGCACATGTAGTGCATGTTCCCTGCACATGTAGTCACTGCTGCTGTCCCCTCTCTGAAGGCTATGCTGGAGCCTGTCCCCAGTAGTTAGTAGATCAACCTGTCCAGTGACAATGGCCTTCAGGGTCCCTGACCCTGGGAGAAAAGTGAGGCCTGCCCCTAGATGCTTGGAGCCTGGCTTGGATATCTTCTTTCCACTTCGTCATTCTTCCCTACCCTCTCCCCAACTTCTCCCAGGGCAGGTAGGCATCTGCCCTTCACCCATGTGGGAGGAGCCCAAGCAAGGGCCGCAGATGAGGCCCTGTGCCTGAGACCCTGCCCTTTTCCCAACCATTCCTTTGCACCAACATTTCTTTTTATTGTATGTGGCTAGTTTTTGAAATAGGGTCTCACACTCTACCCCAGACAAGCCTGGAACTGTGTATGGATGTCCATGCTGGTCTAGAATTCAATGAAATCCCAATCCTCCTGCCTCAGCCCCTCAAGTGCTGAAATGACAGGTGTGAGACACGTTTTTTATTTTGTGTTCACTCGAGGGTCTCTGCTGGCCATGCTGTGGGGTGTGACCTCTGGAGGTCTCCAGGCAGCATACCTATCCAAGGGCTACTTCCAAACTCAGGGTGTGCAGTGGTCATGGGGGATTGCTTGGAAGAAGCAAGCTTATCCTTAAAGAGGAAAACTGGACAGCAGTAAGGTGGAAATAAAGGGGATTGGGCTCATGAGACCACCCTGGCTTAACAGTTAAGGCCAGAATGGGGCCTGATATGAACTCAACACTATGGGCAGACCACCTTCCCAGTCAGTGAGTCTTCTGAAAGCCATCAGCCCAGAGCTGGCCACTCCCCTGAGGACGGTGCAGTGTGTTCCCACCCAGTAACTCCTGAAAGCCTACTGTGGGCCTGTCCACTCTCTGTCAACTCCACAGTGACCTAGGCCCCTGTGGAGCAGGAATTGGGGTGTCCAGGCTCCAGACTCTCACCCCTTTTCCCAGGCTGGTCCCTTCCTGACTTGCTAGCCAAGTTCACCTAAACCTGGAGTTCTTGGCACCTCCTGCCATCTCCCCTTGTCCCTTTCTTCACCCCTGGAGCTCCCAGGGTGGCTTCATACTCCACTGAAATTGTCCTCCACTCTCACAGTAGGGGACAGCTGCCTTCCCTAGTGCCTGCATGGCATCCTTTGACCTCCCTGAAGTCCTGGGTATAATCAGCCACTTTGCCCAGACCTTTTGGATTAGTTCTTACCTCTCAGAAACTCCCTCAAAGCTCCCTCAGGTGTCTCAGGACAGTCTCGGGCTCTCTTTTCTATCCTTTTCCTGCTTGGCCAATTCTGTTTGCCAAAGAAACTCTTCCCTCCATATATCCAGTTACCTGTTTGTCTGTCTGTCTGTCTGTCTGCCCAACTTTCTAACTCCCATTCATCCTCTTGCTTATCCATCCTCCAACCAATCATCCATCAGTCTACCCTCCCACTCATCTATTTCATCCATATATCCATATGTCTACCCAAACATCCACCTATCTGGATGTTTACCATTTAAACATTTAACTCATACATTTAACCATTCATCCCTCCATCCCTTTACATACCCATCCATTTATCCATCCACCGACTCATCCTTCCACCTAATGATTCACACACTGATACATATCCACCCACCCATTTGTCCACTTATCCCCCAAGCCCACCTAGTCATCCACCATCCATCTCCCTACCTACCCACCCACTAATCTACCTATATCCATACATCCACCCACCTATCCTTTCCCATTTACCCACCCTTCACCCATGCACCCATTCATCTATTCACTCATCTATCTCCTATCCACTGATGCACACACTCATCTACCATTCATTCATTCACCCATCCATAGCATCCATACATTCATTATATACCTACCCATCCATCCACAGCATCCATGCATATATTCATTATGCCATTCATTCACCCATCCACTCATTCGTCCAGCCATCTGTCTGCCCATTCGCTCCCACACCCACCTACCCGTCTACCCGTTTACTCATTCACATGACCACCCATCCACCCACCCGTCTACCTGTCAATTTACCCATCCATCTACTTAACCATCATCTATCCACTCACCCATCTACCCATTCACACATCCCACAATAACATACTCACCTATTCATCCGCATAATCTCTCATCCATCAATCCATATATCTACCCATCCACTCACCATTCTACCCACCCATACACTAATCCACTCGTCTATCCATTCATCCACCTACTCACCCATTTGTTCACTCATCTATCTACCAATTCATCCATGCACATACAGCCATTTATTCATTCACCCATCCACTCATCCACCAATCTATCCCTCTACCTACCTCCCACCCACCATGACTCATCCATCTATTCATTTGCCAACTCATTAAGACACCTGTTTATTTACCTGATCACCCACCAACCAACCATCTATCTATCCATTACCCACTAACCATCCATCCATCTACCACTTACCCCATCCACACATGTGTGTGGGAAGCTACAATGTTCAGGGTGCCTTGGCAGGAGCTGGATGAGTGTGGTAGAAGTGCTGAATAGGTCTCACCAAGAAGATGACACAGAGAATGTGGCAAGTGTAGAGAAGAACATATAAAGGTAGGGATGCACATGACTGGACCTGGAGTATCAAACATCACTTTGAATGTGGTAGGGTTGCAGCAGGAGGAGGTACAACTATAAGAGGTGAGGCCAGAGCTGGAACAAAATCAATCACATGGGCCATATTGGCCATTGCTGTTCACTCGACAAATACGTATGGATATCTCTTCAATGGTGTAAATAGTGTCCTCCAGAAATACATATTTACCTCCTGACCTAGAGATCTATAGATGTGACCTTATTTAGAGAAAGGAAGAATCTTTGAAAAACATATAAGAATTTTGCCATGGTATTGTTTTTAGTTTACGATAGACCTAACTCAGAT